CAGTCTGCCATCCTCCCAGGCACTCAGCTCACCCACCACCTTGTGTCATGTCTGCAAAGCTCATTCTACCAGCACCCATGTGTCCTGGTTTCAGCTGGGACAGAGTTAGTTCTTTTCAGCTGCTAGAAGAACTCTTGTGTTTCGGTTTTAGTCTGGGATTTGTTATAAGAAGAATGTTGATAGCGCACCGATGTTTATAGTTGGCACTGAGACAGCTAGGACCTTCCAGCTTCCCGTGTTCTTGCCGGTGTGCAAGAGCACAACAGGCTGGGGGGCATGGCCAGGACAAAGGGTCCACAAGTCCCCTTGTGATTTGAACTTAGACTTAGGATTGAGGGCTAAATTGGAGAATGGAGTATTCCATATCATGCAACGTCATGCCCAGTATAAAATGAGAGCTGACCAGAAAGAAGGGCCTTTGCTTTTCCAAGGGCTCTCCCTTTTGGAGTGCTAGCTCTCCCTCTCTCTCTCTTTTCAGGCCTCTCGCTCATCCGGAATTGTGGTGTCAGGACTTATCTGTTTCAGGAGCGTTAGTCCGGGATGGGCCAGGCCTTGATCAAGGTGATGAGCAGTTACACTGTGCATCACTTGTTTGCATATATATTTATCATTGTACGTATATATATTCATATATTATTAGTAGTAGCATTAAACTGTTCTTATCTCAACCCACGGGTTTCTTTCCCTTTTCCCCTTTTATTCTCTTCCCCATTCCCTGGGGGTGAGGGAGGATAAGGGAGCGGCTGTGTGGGGTTTAGTTGCCAGCCTAAACCGGGACACCCAGGCCTCGCTCCTCCCCAGCTGCAGCCACTCTTCCTCTGATACGCTGGTGGGAGGCAAAGTTTGCGATGTGCACTGCCGGGTGTTGGAGCGTTTCAGAGAAAAATCTGCGATTTCAATTCAATCGTCTTAATTATGCAAGCATGAGGAAAATGGCCTTTTTTAATAGGCTTTGATCGGAAGGGTTGTGCTTGCATAGCTTGAGGTCTTCAGAGGAAATTTCTACTTGCCTCTGATTTTATTGTCAAGAACAGCAATTTATTTATTTTTTTTAAGCTCTAAACCCTGAGAGTGCAGGGTGCTGTAGCCAAACAATAACTAATCAGAGCCACGCATTAATATCCAAACCAATGAATGTGAGCTTGGAACTAAAGCCTTGATTTTGCTTGTGTTCCTTTTCTTTTAAGGAGAAAATTCTTAACTTGCACTTTCATCTAATTTGTCTCATGTTCTGCAAATCCCTGTCCTAATCAATGTCGATGGAGTTTGCACAGAACAACCGTGGAGCATGGCTGGAAGACGGACATTTTAGGGCTGTCCTCTGTATGTGCTCAATGAAGCATGATGGGACTGACCTCCACAAGGTTCCCTGGGCAATACTGTGGTATGTATGAGACCAGGTCACCATTTCACTGGGGTTCAGACAAAAGAGTAAGCTACATTTGAGTAAAGTAAAGAATAATCCATTACCCATCCCTCTGATTCATAAAGGAAAATGAACATCTGGCTTAGTGTTGTAGAAATATCCACAGCTTTACAAATAGGAAGCTCTAACACATAAAGGAGAGGGGAGGCACACGTTGCACAACTCATGTCATTAATTGCTTGAGAAGCTTCATCTGTCTGCAGGAACTGCAGCAAACCCACGCTTTGCTTTGATTCCCCCAACCTTAAAGCGTGTGGAGCAGTTGTAGCTGCTTTATGAACAGCTCCTCTCCCAAAGCAAAAGCCATGCCTTCTTCAGCGAGTCCTCTACCTGTCTGGAGTGCTTGCTTTTCCTTCAGTAGAGCAACCTCCTGAGAGATGTTGTCAATCATGGCCTTCAGGTCTTCAATCATTTTGAGGCTCACACCATCTGTTGGAGAAACCAAGGGCGGAGCATGAACATCAGCCTCATCCCCTGGAGAGGCAGCCAAAGCTGTTCCTATCACCAAAATTCCCTATTTCTCTGCCCTCAGAGAAAGACAAACAAAAGAGATCAGCGAAGTCCCCTGTCCCCTTGCACATCCATCAGAGCAAGCGTTTCCTCACTAGCCTGGTTCCACTAGCAGCCCAGTTTTCCCAGTTTGAGTTTTTGGGCTTTGCACCTCATGGGGCTTTGTGGAAGAGGGGTCACATGCACGAGCCTCGCAAGGTGCAGGCTCATCTCTGGAGCCCCTACGTAGGGCACTCGCCTGGGGTGGTGCTGCACTGGGGTCAAGCTCCCAAAAGGCAGGAGGGCACCACCTGATGCTGCCCTTCCTGAGCAGGAATCCTGCCGCACACAAGTGTTTTGGGGGGAACTCAAAAAGCTGCTGCTGAATAGGATTTATTGTTTTTTAAAACGCCTCAAAAAAATGCCCTCTCTCCCTCTTTCTCCACAGCACACCCTCCTGGCTTTCCTTAAACACCCTAATGCACGATTTCCTCCGTATGGACTCCTTGCCATGCCTCTGCGTTAGCCTGTTCTCGTGGGCGCGTTGGCAGGCTGGCACTCAGCTGGAAAGGCGGCAGTACCCCCCACTAGATCTGTCCCTGCACCACCAGCCACCCCATCCCTCAGCCCACCAACCGCATCATCCCTCAGGTGATCACAACTGCCTCTGCCTCACCTCTGCCTTTAGCATCCCCAGTGCAGGTATCCAAAAACTGGCCAGAGCTGCTCTCCTGCCATGAGAAGACACCTTCTTGGCTGGAGAATTGGTTGTAGCCTCCTACTAAAGCCTACATCTTGCTAGGTGTGCCACCTCTGCACCAGCTCTATTAATTGATACTTGGATTTCTCCTGTCTAGGAGCAAAAGTACCATTGTGCATTGAAGGTGGTGGGAAATTGGACATCGAGGTGTCTCTGCTGCTCCTACTGCTTTACTTCATCTGGCATAAGCATCTGGTAGTCCTCATGGGGTGAAAGAAAAGGGGACAATTTGCCCAGGAACGCAGTAGGACAGGCTTCCACGAGGGTCAAGAAGGTGGGAGGTGGAGGTACTGAGACAGGTAAGCGGTGAAGCAGCTTCAATGTGCATGAAAACCACCAGCCCGAAGGTTACATGGTGCCATGAATATGAGAAGCCAGACACATCAGGAGGAGGGCATTAAGCTGCTTTACTCATTGCTCAATTAACTTTAATGGGTTCACTTAACACTGAGGCACTACTAGTTATTATTTTGCTGCCTTTGATGAAAACGCTTCGTGGGAAACAGCTAATTAACGCTGGGTTGTTGGGTTTTTTTCCATACAAGCCTGTTTTACAGCAGAACAAATGTCCCTTAGGTGTAAGTAACATCCAAAGGCCATGGTAGGATGCCACGAATGCGTCTCGCTGGGGCAGCTCCTTACATGGTTCCAGGTGGATGTGCTGGTGGGTTCCCATCTAGGGGGTCCCTGCCATGCGAGGTGACACATCTCCTTGATAACTACCTAAGTGCCCTGTCCCTTTTCACCACCTCATTTCCGAGCCCTGGGCCACAAGATGTTCCTACAGGAATATGTTCACCCGAACATCACAGTGAGAACTGGGATCAGTTAATTTGCACTTCGGCTACAAAGCAAATACCATGGCTACATCAACAAACGTATTTATTGCCAGAGGTTTTTTGTCTCCGAGCTGTCATCTCAAGGCTCGCCTCCTGAAGCCCATGATGAAGGCTATTAGAGCTTGGCTTTGCTACAACCCAAGGCAGCGCGAGGCTGCCAATGCTGCCCAGGGGAGCTGGATCGGGTCCTTGTGCGCCTGACCGTGAGCAGTGGGATTAAGCGCGGGCAGGGGCAAGATGAAAAGGAGACTCACAGAAGGATGTGAGTTGCAATAGCCTGTTGGTTTGAAAGCTCAGCCAGGGATGTGTTTGATGATGCAAATAGGAGCTCACGCACGTTTTCCCTTGTTCTAATTATATGCTGAATAAAACCCAAATCCCTCTGTATTTCACTTTGATTATTTAACTGTCCCTATATGAAATTTGGATCTCTATCTGGGTTGCTCAGGGCAGGCATCATCCAGTTTGTTCCCGTCCAAACAGGCTTCGGTCCCCCGGTGGGGTGAGCATCACTCTGGATCACAATGCCTGTCATCAAACTGCCCCGGCCATAGATATTTCTTCTGACATCAGGTGTTTCCCTGAATGTCCCAGCTGGAAAAGTCATCCCATATTGCAGTCTGTCCCTGAATCAAAACACACCTGCACTGGGTTTATATCAATGTTAATGTTCACAGGCATTTTCTGGGAAGAGCACCCAGACTTCAAGATCACACGGGAATTTTGGGCAGCCTTGGGAGCAATGCCCACATTAGCCCCTACCCACTGACTCTGATGACCAGCTCCAATTATCTTAAAAATACATGAGAGCTACGCAAGGATGCTCCCTCTTGTGCCCCCAGCACTCCACCATGGCTGTGACCAAGGGGAGCCCCCCCCAGGACTGGTGGGTCCCCAGACTGGACCCCTGAGCCAGGGGGGTGCCATCAATCCCTGGGCAGGGGTGCCATTGCCCACGGTGGCTCCCACCTCCCTTGGGCACCCTCCTGGGCCAAATCCCATCTGCCCCCCAAGACACTGGGGTTTGGGAGGAGTCTGCTGAACCACTGCATCTGGGAAAAATCACTGGGGAGCAATTTGAGGGGAGAAAAAACCCCACAGCAGGCAAAGCGAATGTGCTGCCTCAGCATTTTCTAAATGGTTTACTTTGTCTTTTTAACATTGAAACAGCACCATTTTTGTTCTGAAGCAGATCCAAATGTAAGCAATAATTACAGAAAAGAAGAAAAAAACAAAGCAAAAGAAAAAAATAAAGAGGAAAAAAGAGAAAAGGCTTGGCTCGAAGCATCATTTTCTTTAACGTTTGTGGTTTGGCTGTGCATATTAAGAAAAAATAAATCCAGCCAAACACTCCAACCCTCCAGTGGTTTCACCCTGCCCGACCCTCCCTGGTGAAGGGCAGGGGGTGAGTGAGGATGGGTGGGTGCTGGGGGCCTGCGATGGGAATGGGATGTGGATGGGATGGGGCCATCCTGCCCTCGCTCAGGGCAGGAGTGGGGGAGCCCCGGCCCCTGCGGCGGGCAGGTGGGCAGGCTTGGGCATGATGAGGGGCTGAGGGAAAAGAGGAGCCTCACAGGGATTTTTAGAGCTTTTTCTCTCTTTCCCCACCCCCAGCATTGATAAAAATCAGAAAAATGTTAACCAAGAAATGCTGGAAGTTTCCAATAAAGGCATGGCAGCTGACCTGCTGTGGGGCTGGATGCCGCTGGCCAAAAAATGCAAAGTTTGGGGTTGTTTTTCTTTTCCCCACAGAAAACTTAACCTCTCCTAAAAAAAACCCAACAAACCAAAGCTCTCAGGAAAAATTGCCACCAGCTGTTTCAGATGTAGTTTGATTTTTGGAAAAAAAATGTTGAAAACCCCCCACTCTGAAAAACATGTTTAAATCAGATCCCAATTTTCCTGACAAAAAGGTGATTTTTCTCCCACCTGCTTGTCACCAATGGGTTACAAACAGTGGTTCCAGTGATATGGAAAGAAAAATAAAATTTCTCTAAGAAAGTCATCTCTCTCTCCTGGAATATCTAGCAAGCGCAATGCACGTATGTACCTTACGCCAGTCCAAGCGGGGATTTTTGCTCTAGAAAACAGCCAAGGACCAGAAGTGTGGAATAAGCAGATACACAGAGATTTCATAGAAAGATCTAATGGGAGAAAAAGGAGAAATTTCTCAAGGATGGGATCTGATGAAAATAGCCACTGGGCAAGCGCAGAGAGCAGCCGGGCCAAGTGAATTCCTGAGATGCTTTGTTCCAAGCAGGAAAGCGCCCACCAGAATGGGTCCAAGCCCACACGACTGCAGTCGGACACACGAGGCAGGCTCACATGCTGCCGGGCTGCGATGCGAGCTGCTGCCTTACCTGCCCTCTCCTATAGTTATCGTGCATTGAGTCAGAGGGAGAAAGGATGGGACGGTAGCAAAATAGGAGAAAAAAAACCCCAAACAAACAAAAAACACTAGGGAAAAGAAAACTCAGGCATCTTTTTGTGTGCGTTGCCCTCTGGTAAGCCTGAGTAGTCTGAGCTTGTGTATGGCTTGACATACACTCAGGGCAAGTGTTTGAAAATGGTCCGTGTTAATATTTAATGGATTGAATATTATTTGCCTACTCTTGTCTCCAAATCTACAAGAGCAGTCTATCATCTGCCACTTACTTGCTTCTGAAAAAATGAATGAGGAGGGGTAGGGGTCATAGAAAGAGAGATTTTAGTAGAGGAAAAGTTTGGGATGAACCTTAGAGATAACATGGAAAACATGTTGCCCTCTGAAGTTCAGACTGAGCTGTCCCATCGAGTCTATTCAAGGGGGATTGGAACTAAATGATCTTTAAGGTCTCTTCCAACCCAAATCATTCTATGATTTTTTAAGGTAGAAACCTGCCAAAAACATTTCCATTTCCTTGCTATTTTACAGAAGGGCTATGCAAGCATTCCCACAGGGAGAAAAAAAATAGACCCTTCATTAAGTTTTCAGATGCTTTTTAAAAAGTTTCATTAAAGCACTGCTAAATGCACAAACAACCGGGCTATTTGCATCCCCCCCAAGCCCCGCCAGGTTTCCTCACCAGGAAGATGCCATTGCTCCTTACCTTTCTTGGAAGCCGCTGGCTTTTGCCGGACTTTGCCATTTTGCTGGCTGGAGACGTGGGCGAGGGAGAGGAGGCAGAGGAGCAGGCAGGCTCCCCGGAGCGCCATGCCGCTGCCGTCCAGTGCCGAGTGGGGGTGGTGGCGGTTCCCGGCGGGCCG